TATTTAACTTGGTTACTAGTTTATTATCTGTCTCCTCTAAGAGAATCCAGATTCCATTAAAGTATTTGTTTGGTTCACCCAATACTGATCATCCCAATACTGGGATGCAGGGGCTTCCAAAATATTTGTTGGAAGTATTTGTTTGGTTCACCCAACACTGATCACCCAATACTGGGGATGCAGGGGCTTCCAAAATATTTGTTGGAAGATGAATGAATCAATACATGAATAGCATTAGCAGAAAATGGAAAAAGAAATTAAATTTCCTTGAATATACGATTCTGCTCTTCTAAGAAGAAATTCCTAAGAAAAAGAGGTAGGATGCCCAGGCGGGAACTTGGGTGTGTGGTCTCTCCAGCACACAAGATTGGATGAAGGTACACAGCAGCACACATGGCAAGCCGTGACGTCTCTGCTCCCTGCACAGGTCAAGGCAACAGGGAGAAGCCCATGGAGAACGCCAGCCACCCAGAAGATGAGGAGCTTGCCCACTGTCCCTTGGAGCCTGCATCTACACCACACAGGCAGCACCTTCTTTGTTGAAGCCCTGAGCACAGGCTGCCAGGAAGAGATAGCCCTGGGGCTGTGCCACATAGCTGAGAGGCAAACTCTGGCTGAGCACTTGCTGCTAGGTGGTAGGATGGGTACTACATGGAGCACATGGTTTCTGCCTTCCAAGGCCTAGCCATCTAGAATGGGAGACAAAAAATATAGAGAAAAAGAGGTCTAAAAAAGTGCCACAGGAATCTCATGGAGATTAAAAAATGTCTGCTCTTCCCACAATGTTGTTATGAAAAAGAAAAGACATGCCACAGACTGGGGGGACATCACTGCAAAATGCCTCTGATAAAGAACTTGCACTCAAAATACATAAAGAACTCTGGAGGCTGAGGTGGGTGTATCACCTGAGGTCAGGAGTTCCAGACCAGCCTGGCCAACATGCCAAAACCCCGTCTCTACTAAAAATACAAAAATTAGCCAGGTGGGGTGGTGCACGCCTGTAGTCACAGCTACTCAGGAGGCTGAGGCAGGAGAATTTCCTGAACCTGGGAGGTGGAGGTTATAGTGAGCCAAGACTACGCCACTGCATTCCAGCCTGGGCGACAGAGTGAGGCTCCATCTTAAAAGAAACAAAACAAAAAAACCCCAAACTCTCGAAACACAACAATTTTTTTACTCAACTCAATTTAAAAAATTAGCTAAGGATTTGAAAAGACTCTTCACCAATAAAGACATGTATGGCAAAAGAAACACACGAAAAGATGTTCAATGTCATTAGGAAAATGCAAATTAAGATCATAAGATACAAATGCATGCCTATTAGAATGGTGAAAACTAAAAAGGTGACCACGCAAGTGTTGGAAAGGAAGTAAAGGAACTAGAACTCTTGTACACTGGTGGTGGGACATAAAATTATATAGGCATCTTGGAAAACGGTTTGGCAGTATCTTAAAATAAACGCAAACATACACATACCTCCCATAATTCTATGGGAGACATGACTCAGCCATTCTATTTGTAGGTATTTACCCAAGAGAAAAAGGATGTATATGCCCATACAGCTCTCTGTATGGACACATATTGTATGGGGCCACACAAATGCTCCCAGCAGTTTTGTTTGTAATAGTATCAAACTGGAAACAACCCAAATTTCCAATGACAGATGAATGAATAAACTGTGATATGTTCATACAATGGAATGCTGCTCAGCAATAAGAAGAAATGAACCATGGATACACACAGCAACATGATGGATTTCAAAATAATTATGTACATTGAAAGAGGCCACACCAAGAGGAGTACATGATGCATGACTGTTTATGCAAAATTTTAGAAAATGCAAACTAATCCAGAATGACAGGAAGCAGATTATTAGTGTTACTTGGGGAGAGGGGTGTGGGAGGCAAGTGAGAAGGGGGAGGAAATGTTTGGGATGCTGGATTGTATACTCTCTTGATCAAGGTGTTGATTTCATGGGTATTTACATATGTCAAAATATCAAATTGTACACCTTAAACATACGCAGTTTATTGCATATCAATTAGACCCCAATAAAGCTTTTTCTTTAAAGGGGCTCTGCTTCTGGCCAAGATGGATTAGATTTAACCTTCTGATTCAGGCAACTTAGAAAGCAAGACAATATATACAAAACAATGGTTATCAGTCTATGGATGAACAGGCAGCATAGGAGAGAGATCCCTGAGAGACAGAAGCGCAAAGGCAGTGGCCCAGTGGCTCCAACTTCCTGTCCAGGAAAAGTATCCAGGCCTCAGCACAGGGAAAGAAAACCAAAAGACAGTGTTCTCTCAGAGATGAGAAGGCAGAGTTTGGAGTTCAGGAAGATCAAGTGGTTAAAATTCATGGACAAGAGAAACAGAGCTACAGAGAGAGAGCTCCAGACACATGCAGAGGGTTTTTAAGGAGGCTCAGCTGAGTTCTGGCCAATGCGTACATATGAAGAAAGGGAAAGACCTGCCAGAATGAAGCCTGTGGAACAATTCCTGGAGCTCACACAGGACTGGCCAGTGTGGAGAGACCACCTCACCACGGGACGCTATAGAGTCTCAGAAGGGCACTGTCTCAGTAGTGGGGAGAAGTTAGTCCTAAACTAAAGGCTGTCTGGACCAGCTCTCACAGAGCATAAAAGCAAGCCCCAAAAAAGGATCAAACCAACTCCAATTAACTTAACCATTGGCCCAAAAATATTTACAGGAAGAATCTAGCAACCAGCTGTGTAAAAACCACAGTAAGTGTCAACCAATCAAAAATGACCAGGCATGCAAAAAATGGGGGAGGAACTCCAAAAGTAGGAGAAAAACCAGTAAGAGACATACAGTTAGAAATGACACAGATGTAAGACCACAGTAAATCAGAAGGGAAATTGTACAATATTTTAAGCTGAATGAACCTCCTATGTCAAAACTTATTGGATGCAGGTAAAGCAGTGCTTAGAGGGAAATTTATGGCAGTAAAGTCATAGAGAAGAAAGGTTTAAGATTAATGACTGGAAAGGAAATAGCCTGAGAGATATTTTTTCTGATAATAAAACTATAATATCTCCTGATTGCATGGTATTCACACATATCCATACATGTCCCAAAATTCACAGAATTAAATACAAAAATGGGTTGGTTTTATGGTATGTTAGTTAAAAAATAAGTCGATTTGCTGAAAAAAATCAATGATCAAAGCTTCCATCAATGATTAAAATCAATTGTTAGAGCTTCTTTATAAGAAGCTATAAAACAAAAAGTAAATTAAATTGGAAGCAGCAGAAGGTAAATAAAATAAGCCTAAGAACAGAAATCAATAAAATAAAAAACAGCAGAACAATAGAGGGCAGAAATAAAATTAATAATCCTCTAGCCAAACTGATTAGGAAAAAAAAAAATGAAGACCTAAATTATCAATACCATGAATCAGAGAGGGAACATCACTACAGATCCTACAAACATTAAAAAGATAATTAAGGAATATCATAAAGTTTATGTCAATAAATTTGACAGTTTAAATGAAATGACAAACTCCTTGAAAGACACAAGTTACCAAAGCTCACTCAAGAAGAAATACATAACCTTGAAAAGCCCCATAACTACTTAAGGAATCGAGTAGTTAAAAACCTTCCATCAAAGACAACCCCATACTCAGATGGCTGCAGTAGTTTAAGGAACATTTTAAGGAAGAAATAACACTACAAAGATTCCTCCAGAAAAATCAAGGAAAGAATATTTCTCAATTCATTCTGTAAGATGAGCATAACCCTGAGAGCAAAATCAGACAAGAGAATTACAAGAAGACTACAGACCAGTATCAGTCATGAACCTAGACAGAAAAATCCTTAATATCTATGATTTGCTATGATTTGCTCACACATTGATAAAAGAGAATGGCAGCTCTGGATGGACATAAACCCATGTGCTGAAACATGATGATGTGAGAAGGGCAAGGTACAAAACACAATATGAGTACCTCCATTTATGGCTAATAAAACCATATACACTCCTTCTTGGCTTTGTTTGGCCATCTTTAAAAAGACACAAGAGAAATCAGTAGCAGGAAATGCTTTTGAAGAGGAGAGCTGGGAGCCAAAGCTTGGGGATTTTTTTCACTATATACTCTTCTGCCACCAATCAAGTTATTTATCATGATTAATGATTTCAGAACACATAAACTTAAGTTATGTCATGTATGTTTTAATGCCTCTAGCCATAGGCTGTCTTAGTAAAATCCAACTCTACCTACTCCCCAATAAACTTATGGAAAACCTACTAAAACATCACTTGATGTTTTACTATGCCAAACCCAGCTCTGGCAGGGGTTAGAAGGAATATTCTTGAATTCTTCTTTGAAGAGATTCTGATGTGGAGGCTTCAGAAAGTGCCCATGTCAAGCCAGGTGGCGCAGACAACAGTAGCTATTCCCAGGAATGGACATCAAGGCAGTGAATGAATAAATTCTAACAAAACCTGTAAACCTCATCAGAGTTGGATCCTGGCCATGCAGCCTCAACAGGGGAAGCCAGAGAACCACACCTTTCTTTAGAAAGGAAACCTATGCTTCCACAAAGTCCACCCAGCATCAATTTCGGCTCTGAACCCAGAATAAGAACATCAAGTGTTATAAATAGCAAAACCAAGATTACAATTTGACTGATTTCAGTTCTGATGTTAGGAAAGAGGTCAGATGTTAAGTCAGTTGTAAATCAAGGGGTCAAAAGAAAACCACAGGGTGAATATAGTCATCCTGGGTTAGGCAGTCAAGGTACCTTTCCCCATATTACCAGAGTAACCAATTCCTGTGGTTTCAGTTGGTAGAAAAACACCTGAGAAATTCTAAAGAGGCTAAAGAAGAGTGGGAGTCAAAACCAAAAAGGACCACCAAAACCAGAAAGGAAATTCTGTATAGAAAGCACCCTTCTTTGTCCTCTATGCAGCAGAGGGGAAGGATGCTATGCGTACGCAGGGCCCAGCGAGGAAGTCTGGCAAGGCAAGAGTGCCTACCTTTATTATGAGACATGGCGTAGAGGAGGCAGAGCACAAACAAGGCGTGGTAATCATCATCCGGGCTGTCCAGAGCGTGGTACACCATATCCAGGAAGGGTCTGGAAAAGAGGAGGGGCATCCATGAGCCTTGTGGTGCACGTGGGTGAACACTTCCCCTCTCTAACCTGTACATGGGGTGCTAGCTGCCTTTGGTACAGCTCTTTAGGACACAACTATGTTCCTGGTCTAGCACCAGGCACTGAGGATACAGACAAATGAGAGATAGGCTCTGCCCGGGAAAGCTGCTATCCAGAGGGGAAACTGACCAAGGAACAGACTGCTGGCTTAGTCAGCAGGTATTCCAGACACACAGAATCAATGATACAAACTCCCCACAGCAAAGCTTTCATGTCAGTTTGTAGAGAGACAGAACAGACAGACATCACTGCAAAGCGATATGTGTCACAAGAGAATGAAGAAAACAGGACAGGGTGATATCAAACAAGGCACAAACAACAATCCAAACACATTCAAGACCATGAGCCCTGGAGCCATACTGTCTGGGTTCAAATTCTGATTCTGTCTATTCTCAGCTTTTTATTTAGCAAATCCTTGAGTAAGCTACTTAAAACCTCTCTATTTCCCCATCTGTATGGCATGGATTCCAACCTTGCAGAGTTATTGTGAGGATTCAAGTCTAATGAAGACTGAAAAGCATTTAGCACAGGGCCAGGCACTGCGGGTGGTGCCAATGCATGACAGCTGCTGTTTGATTTCTATTTTTAACATTCCAAGGGCACTACTTCATGATTTCATTTTGGCAGGGTCCTGACCCAGCAATTTCTTGGACCGACTTTCTCTGACTGCTAAGAATTGACAGTGAGGTCTCTCACCTCTGATGCTTTGTGGGTGAGATCTGTAGAGAGGCTGCAAATATCGGAAATGGCACACCCCAAATGCTGCCTTTCCAGATGAAGGGCCTGACGGGAAAAGACTCTTCACCACCAAGAGAACAGAATATGCACAGCGCTGGCTCACAGGCCAGAGGCTCTGAGCCCCTGTCTGTGGCTGCCCCTTCTGAATGCCAGGTTGAGGCCAAGAGAACAGAGTACCTTCATGAGTGACCCTGGGCATATTTAATTTCTGGAAGGACACTCAAGCTCCAATGAACACTGGGTGCCTATGGGGAGTGAAAGAGGCCTGTGGAGACACAGGGAGTGTTCACGATACAAACTATGAGACAGTTTTGAATTTTTGACTCTATACATGTATCACTGACACAAAATGTTTCACTGAAAAATGCAAAAGAAAAAGTACGAAAAATCTACTTACAACATTTCAAACACACATATGACCACAAAAACTAAAAAAAAAAAAAAAACAAAAAACAAAAAACAAAACTTAAAGGGGACATTTGTCTTCCGTCCCCGTCTCTCCACAGTCCCAGATGGGGCACCACCTTTCAGATGTGTTAATAGTTTTGTCATGTGTAGATTTGCGTTTTGAAAGCATCCAGCAATAACACTTCCAAACTTTGGGTGGGATAACATTTTCTTGTAAATCAGCTGCTTGAAATTTGGATTATATTTCCATTTGGGAATAATATGAATAATCAAATGGCAATAACTGGGTGAGTACCATCTTTTATGAGATGAAGTATCACGAAGCCATTAAGTGTTTTGTTTACACAGGGTAGAATATGGTGAAAAAAGGTTGCTTGAGGGTTGATATTAGATGGAAAAAAGGAGGAATAAAAAATTATAGACATGATATGGTCCAAGCTTCTGGGAGAAGGGAGGGTGAAATTCCCAGAAAGCTCACATTGGGAAAAAAAAAAGAAAACTGGTAAGAAATGGCTGGAATGGTAGTCCCGCTGACTCTGAACACCAGCAGCATGAAGACTTTTTTCCTTTCTTTACACTCTTCAAGATTTTGCATACTTTCATAATTTAAAATTTTTTTTTTTTTGTAAGAAAAGAAGCAATGTTTTAAAAGCTTTAAGTTTCTTAGGTCTATATTTAACTCCAAATGCAGATAGAGCCCATAACATATGGGGAATATAAAATGGTCTGCTTTTTACCATGCTGTGCCTTGGGGCAAGTGGACCAATGCCAAGATCCAATTCATATCCTGGAGAACAAATGGCCACTTTCCCACCCCACTCCCTGCCTCCCCACCAGGAAGTGGGAGGACAGAGGGCAACGGCAGTTTCTTACAACCTGCAACCCGCTACCTTGGCAAAGAAGACAGCAGCTCTCCACCTGGGCCAGTACCGACATTCAGTCTCAGAGTCTAGCAGAGATCTGGCCTGGAGGTTCCCAGGCCTGCAAGCGGCCTAACTCAAGGCAACTGAATCAGCTTCCATTAGAAGCCATGTGCTTGAAGATGCCCAAAGTTAAGCAACAATCTCAATCAACTCTAAGAAAACCCTTCTCTCCACCAAAATTCAGAGAAAAAGAAGTCATCAACCCCAATATTCTAACGTAACATTTTGGTCTGTTTTTTACCCTTTTTTCTTGGTGGCAGGAGGAATACAGGGTGTTTCTCCTCCATTAGCAAAGCTACAGAACTACTACACTATGAAAAATATGTTCTCTGTTTCCATTTATCAGTTTCTAAGGAGCTGAACACATCATGACAGTATTCACCTAAGAGTATAGCTGATACTCTTTGTTTTTCAGACAGAGTCTCAGTCTGTTGCCGAGGCTGGAGCACAGTGGCAATCATAGCGTATTATAGCCTTGACCTCTCTGGCTCAAGCAATCTCCCACCTCAGCCTCTCAAGTAGCTGGGGCTACAGGTGCCTGCCACCATGCCTGGCTAATTTTTAATTTTTTTGTAAAGATGAGGTCTCACTATGTTGCCTAGGCTAGTCTCAAACTCCCTGGCTCAAGTGATTCTCCCGCCTCGGCCTTCCAAAGTGCTAGGATTCTAGGTGGGAGCCACCATGCCTGGCCTTATCTTCTATTAAGCAGATACCTCTTCCCTTGCTTAAGCACCATCCCACTAACAGTCATTTGTGGCCCTTCTAATTATTTATAGTCTAAAGAATGCTGTACCAAGGTTGTCCCCAACCTTCTGTGTTTGGAATGACTTCCTCAATTTTCAGAACTTTGGGAGTTTGCTGTCAAACAAAATCTAAAGGTCTTTGTACTCCACTGTTTTTTTATTTAGCAAAAACTAAAAATGGCTCCCTTGCACATCTGATAGAAATTAATCCCATCTGTTAAGTCATTGAAACATTTGCCAAGCAAAGAGAAAAATAAGATGTGGAAGAAAAAAATTAGTGGATTTCATATCTTGACTTGAAGTTGGATTGCTAAAGAGGACAGGGTGTGTGTGTGTTTTCACCACCCTCCCTAGGGGCGGAGGAAGGGAATGCCTTGCAGGCTGACAGAGAAACCCTGGTAGTATGCATTTATTAACAGGAAGGTAGTGCTAATCAGGAGGCTGCTACGGGGGCCTGTGCAGTGGGGCTGCGAGATGAGGAAATCACTCTGAAATGAAGAAGCCCTCCTACCAGTCCCCAGCATACTCTGGAAGTAGCCTTCTCTCCAATCCCATTGTGGAGGGGCTGGTGCTACAGCAAAGTTCCAGGAAATGTGGGGTCACCCAGGTTTAAAAAGATGTAACTACAGATGGCCATCGCTGAAATGAACAATCAGGCAAAAAGTCGAAGGTGGATGGCAGCACTAACTCATGTTTAAGAAGGTTTTGGAAGGTTTAAGAAGATGTAGCTACAGATGGCTATTGCTGAAATGAACAATCAGGCAAAAGGTCAAAGGTGGATGGCAGCACTAACTCATGCGGGCCGAGTCAAGAGGGCAGGCCCTATAGATGGGGTATATGTATGTGTGTGCAGGGCAGGGAATGAACCAGGCAGGAGATCCAAGCCCAGCTACTGAGGGGATGCTTCCTGGGAGCAGCAGAGCATTTCCAGGAGCAGCCAGTGTGAAGCCACCCATGTCCTTTAGATGGAGCCCAGTCCAAAGCACCAGGAGCACAGCAGGGAGAGTTGCACTATTCTGGCAAATCTCTTTGCAAGGGAGTGAGCATTATAGTGTTGAGTGATGGCTCTATCTCTATGCCTCTGGGTAGCCAGCGTTGGAGAAGCAGGGAAAGAAAGGGAGGCAGCACGGTCTGGCTGAGGGACAGAAAAGACTCTGGCCCCAGGGCTCAACATCCCCACTGAGCCCTCTCCTCTTCCCTGAGACGGCACTCAACATTGGCCTCCTGGCCAGCTACCTGCTCCACTGTGCACTCTCGGAGCACGTGGCAGCGGCACTCTTCTCCTCGTCGGTGGTGTTCTGCTCCTGCACAGAGGCGCTGGCGGTCAGCTCTGAGAGCTTGCTACGCTCCATGATCACCATCTCGATCTCTGGAAGCCAAAATGGAGACTGGGATGAGCCCAGGCAGCTATGCAGCTCTAGATTCGTACACACGCTCATGTTTGAGAATAAATGTGCATAAAAATGACTCCTAATAGGTCAAACACATGTCTGACCTGAACACCTGCGACACACTGGGGGAGAAATCAGACAGAGGCCAGAGCCCCTCTTTCTATTCATCATGGCAACACCAATAAACATGTTCCTGATTTTGACAACAAAACATAAATTTCAATCATTTATTCTATTTCAAGAGTTTAAAACAGTTCTTTTTACTTTATTGATACCACATTTCCTTCCCAAAGGATTTGAGGCAGCTAAGATATGATATGTGGTTGGTAAACATAATCAACCTCACTGTTAATATTCTAAAGCTGCTTACATTTTTTTTTTTTTTTTTTTTGAGACAGAGTTTTGCTCTTGTTGCCCAGGCCGGAGTACAGTAGCGTGATCTCAGCTCACTGCAACCTCTGCCTCCCGGATTCAAGCGATTCTCCTGCCTCAGCCTCTGAGTAGCTGGGATTACAGGTGCCCACCACCACACCCAGCTAATTTTTGTACTTTTAGTAGAGACAGGGTTTCGTTATGTTGGCCAGGCTGGTCTCGAACTCCTGACCTTAAGTGATTCTCCCACCTCAGATTCCCAAAGTGCTGTGATTACAGGTATGGGCCACCAAGTACAGGCAAGCTGCTTACATTTTTAAGAGAAAGCTCTGACTGAAGGCTTTTGTTTTTCTGTTCTACTTACAACTTTCAGAGGGCAGAGTGAGATTAGGAACCTCATTTCATTTTTCCCCCCATTAAACAAGGGTAACCTGTAACAATCAACTTAAGCATGACATGCATTTTTATTTTTCAGAAAAAGTTATGAACCACCAAAGAAAACATCTTGAATTAAAGATGGACGAGGACTGGGCTTTATGGTGTCCCCATCACAGAGTTCTTGGTCATGCAAGCATGGACTTTCAAACAGCCCATGGAACTCAGAGTTCACATATTTTTCCCCACCTTTGGTAGACATATGGGGGAAAAAGAGATGACAAAATGTGAACCTGCATTTCTGTTCCAGAAGGGTGTGGACACATCATCTTGGGCTCAGACGTGGCCTCCACCACAGTCTCCCTCCTGCCAGCTCATACAGTGACCTCTGCCACCTCTTCTGTCACCCTAATTTATTCTCCACACAAACCCAAGGTAATTTTAAGGAAACTAGCTCATGTCACTCTTCTATTCAAAACTCCCAATGTCTACCCATCACTCTCAAGAAAAAATCCAAACACATGGCCTGGCCCCAGTCCACCTCTGACCTTACCTCGCGGCTATCCCTGCCTGGTTGGCTGGTGCCGCTCCAGCTGTGCGGGGCTTCTCACTATCTCTTGAACATCCCAAGCTTTACACAGGATCTTTACACAGTAAAGATCCAAGGATCTTTACACAGTAGTTTCCTCTTCCGGAAAAGCTCTCACCCCAGGTCTCCTAGCCAGGTATAATTGGGGTACATCATTCAAGGCTCAGTTCACATGTCACCTCCTTGGAGACATCTTCCTGGACACCCTCTCCACCTGATTTTTTGTTTTTGGAGATAGGGTCATGCTCTGTCACCCAGGCTGGAGTGCAGTGGTGTGATCGTGCAGCCTTTACCGCCTGGGCTCACGTGATCCTCCTACCTCAGCCTCCAGAGTAGCTGGGAACACAGGTTCGTGCCACCACACCCAGCTAATTTTTAAATTTTTGTAGAGATGAAGGTCTCACTATGTTGCCCAGGCTGGTCTCAAACTCCTGAGCTCAAATGATCCTCCCACCTTGGCCTCCCAAAATACTGGGATTGTAGGCTTGAGTCACCACACTGGCCTTCACCTGCTTTTTATTTTTATACCTCTTTAAACATTATTATTAACTAAATTCCACACTTTGAGCAGATTTCATTAGTTCTCCCAATGTCTTTTTTGTGGGACCCCTTTACATTGAGTCCTCATTCTTAGGTTCCCCTGGATGTGACGTTTCTCAGACTGTCCTTGCTTGTGTCATGACCTGGACATTTTGAGAAGTACTGGTCAGGGATTCTCAAGAGTCCCTCACTCTGGGGTTGTCCACTATCTTTCTGCTATTTAGACTGGGGTTACAGGTTTTGAGGAGGAGGACCACAGAGGGGAAGTATCCTTCTCATCACATCATATGAGGGCACATACTATCAATATGACTTATGTGTGTTGATGTTAAACTCCAATACTTGGCCAAACTAATGTTCATCAGCTTTTGCCACTGAGCATCAACTTTTCCTCCCCCTTCCATACCACATTCTGTGGAAGAAAGTCAGTAACACAGGCCACAGTTACAGAATGGGGCATTACGTTCTGAAGCCTCTTTGCATATCTCATAAATTATCTGGCATTCTTCACTAGAGGAGATTTGTCCTTACCTTGATTTTACTTTATATTAATAGCATTTATAATGACTTGGCTCTTACATTCGCTATTGTTTTGCTTCTTTACTGCCTGTCTGCCTCCACTAGAACAGGGGCTTTGTAGCTGTCGTATGTGTCTTGTTCTCCACTGTCTCCAGTGTCTAATCCAGTGCCTGGCACAAAGTACTTAGGCACACCACAAGCATCTCCTGAAGTGATAAATAAATGACTAATTTAGCCCAACACGAGAGGTGTTGACGGCAGGCCCGGCTGGCAATTCACGGTGGCTGCGATGTGAGGCGGGGTGGCCACTGCCTGACAGAGTCTGCCATCAGTGTGGGCTCGAAGTGTTCTTGTGGGGAGATGTCTCACGCCCTGTGAGACTCTCCTGGCTGTTGGGCCTGACTGCACCTGCACGCACCCCCTGACATGGAGGAGCACCCCCATATCCACATGGGACCTGGCCCTCTGCTGGGTTTATTCTCACCATCCTCCTTCCCTCCCTCCCATCTGATCTGAAGCCAGATGCCAAAGATCAGAGTCTCCACAGGGCAGGCCCCATCACACAGGTAGGAGCCAGCAAATGCTTTCTAACTGGTGTGTGGACGAATGCATAGTTTTGTACTTATTTCACTGTGCATTACAAGAAAATTCTAGCTGCACAGAATGCCTACTGTGGATATTAGTGCTTAGAATAAGGCTAAATTTGGGGCAAAAAAGCCAAGTGAGTCAATTCTAAGAAAGCTATCCAGTAAACAGCAGTGCAGGTAGCACCCAGATATGGCAAAGAACTGGAATGTGGGCTGAGGGGTAGAGGCTTATGCCTCCTAGCACTTTGAGGGGCCAAGGCGGGATGATCCCTTGAGATCAGAAGTTTGAGATCAGCCTGGCCAACATGGTGAAACCCTGCCACAAAAATTAGCCAGGTGTGGTAGTGGGTGCCTGTAATCCCAGCTACTCGGGAGACTGAGGCACAAGAATCACTTGAAGCCAGAAGGTGGAGGTTGTAGTGAGCTGATATTGGGTCACTGCACTCCAGCCTGGGTGACAGAGTGAGATTCTGTTTCAAAAAAAAAAAAGAGCTGGTATGTGGTGCAGACTGCTGTTTGGGAAACATTGCTATTTCCTTTCTCCCATTTTCACCTCCACCAGACTCCTTCAGGTGCCCAATACCCTCCAACTACCCTGGTTGTCTCCAAAGTGGGTATAGACCTCAGTAGGCATGCAAGATGATTCTCTACGCAGTAGGTCTTTTAATGCTTATCTTTAAAAATCTATTTTGTTTTATATTGTCCATAATATTAGCATAGACATATTATGTATAATTTATAATACATAAATGTTTATATATTTTGGGGAGATGTATGCTTAAATGTCGCATGTATAAGTTTGTTTGTGTTTATTAACAAGGCTTGCCATTAGACATCTGAAGATTCCCAAGCAAACCTGCAAGGCCAGCCTCCCCCTCATCTTCTAGTCTCTGGCCTCTGCCCTGTGCAGCAGAGGGCGCAGCATATGCCCACCTCCCCTACAGCTGCAAGTTCTCCTTCCCCAGGCTTAGCTCCGCCCTGCTTGGCTGACATAGTGGGAACTCGGCTCCAAGTACTTCCTAAGGTTGTAGGGCCAAGCCAAGTACCCTGGCCTGGAGGCCCAGCTTTGTGACGTGGCTGTCCCCTTTCTAGATTTATCTCCTTGGACACCAGCAGAATTCCGGAGCAGAGGAGAAAGTAAAGACAATTCAGTACCAAGCTCATCAAACGTTTGTTTTTTTTAAGCAGCTGAATACTAATTTAAAGGATAATTTCCCAGGGCAACCCGCCATGGTCAGCGGATGAGCCAGAGCTCCTCCAGGCAAAGGGTTGCGGGCACCAAAGGCCTCTGACTACTGTGGGCTCCCTCATGCACTCCAGAGGCCCCTTTCTGGAATTCTATGGCTTTACACAAAACTGCGTGAGAACCACCAGCTTGTCCAACCCTGGATATTGAATGTGAGCGCACAGAAACCCAAAAGTGCAGTGACTCTTAACACAGCTGAAAATGCATCAGTGAAGCCAGGACCACTCCCCTCCCTCCCTCCCTACCCCCATGTCACGTCTTGGTGCAGAGCCAGGCCCACAAGGGCCTCTCCACACAAAACGGGATTTCCAAACCCTGGCTGTGACACTTATGCCCACAGCTGCACCGCACAGTCCTCATCCAGCTAGCATAGTTGTAGAGTGAGTGGCTCCACTTAATTTTCTAGATGAATGCAGATCACGTCTTTAAATGTCAACCCTTCTTGCCCTTCTTTTTGATAGTTTTATCCAAACAATCCTTGTAGGTACTGATTCTTACCTAGGGTCTGCCAACTCCCTGAAACTCTATGCAAAGTGCTATGTGGGCATGGGAGTAGTCGGTAGCAAGTTTCTGGGGGAAAGGTCACCCCAGATTCTCACTGCTCTAAAATAGGTACCATCTTTAAAAGAGGATGTCAAAGAGGAGTTTACCTCTCCTGATCATCAGGGTCACAGAGAACCCCCTCACTGTGCTACACCTAAATGTCAGCATGGTTCTGTGCCGCTCTGTGGCCCAGCTTCACTTGTCCCT